TTAAAAACCATAGACTGAGCTACAGTATAGAGTAGAGTGAACATGAATAATACACAGGTGAAAAGTACTGTTGTAGAGCTGTTTAAATTAATGTTTGTTTCAGGTATCCTAATACACGAGTTAAAGCTTATGACACCCCTCAAGGGAGTCTTTAATAAGGACAATTTACCTCCACTTTATGTCTGGGAAAACAGATGCACTTGCACTTCTAATACAAATCTGTGTAACAACCATTTGGTTTGCAGGACTGACGTTAATTGGCAACTTAAGTCTTAACACATAATTGCATCATGTTTGCAGTCCTATTTGCAGATGATATGAAAGACGCCTCTGATTGTTATAGTAAGTGCTTGACAGTGATGCAATTTGTGATCTATCTTATTTTATTTACATTTTTACAGTTATTTTACAATGAAGTTTGTTTTCTGGTCACATGGCAAAGTATGTCACTTTGACAGAGGAGATCTCCAGATCCACATGGGTTTTCTTGTCATTCAGTTTGCCAGAGAATCAAGGATCTTGATCCACAATTTCTGACCTTTGTGAAACTTTCCCAATAGAATGTAGAATGACTAAAAGATATTTAGAAGCTTGTCTGGGATATTGGCGATACTACTGTAGAGTATATGCTGAAGAGTAGTTACAAAACAGAGTTTTATTTCCTCCTTCTGGACGGAATATCTAATTTTGGACTGGAGTGATTGTCATTTGCAAGAGTGCCACAAGCAAGAGTAAAAATCCATGCAAGATCCATTAGCGTAGACCTACTACTGATAGAATTAATGCAATAGTTCACCTAAAAATTTAAATTAGCTGAAAATGTACTCACCCTCAAGTCATTAAAGATATAGATGAATTACACAGCATTAAAACTGTATATTATGAACACGCAGCTTTTGGCCTCATATGACATTAATTGACAAACTGGAGTCGCATGGATTACTTGTGTATTATTGTGATGTTTTTATCAGCTGTTTGGACAAATTTTCATTCTTGAGTAAACTATTCCTTAAAAAAAACGGAAACACATAGCTTACATAGTGATTTTAGCATGGAAAACTTTATTTTCAGATGCTCTCTTATGGGAAGGTTTACTATGACAAAAACAATTATTGAAATTGTAATCTTTTACAGTTTCCTCCACAGTTATTTTCTTCCAGCAGGTGTTACAATATTGTGTTTGTGAAAGAAGCGTTGTGGTTTGCACAAGATATAACTGTGGTTTAATTCTTATTTGATCTATTTTTTTAAAGGCAAAAACTATATATGAGTTTTTGTAAAGCTTTCAGGCATTTTGTATCACTGGGCTTCTACTCTTAGAGCACAATAATAGAGAGCTGAATCTGTCAGAGTTACACTCTTAATAGTGAGTTCAGTGGATGTTTGGGATGTAATCGACTGAAACTGATCTGGTATATCCTCATAACTGCTCCGTGATTGGGCACCTTTATACAGTAAATATTCTGGTTCTCTGTTAGGATACTGTCTGTACCAGTAGAGATAGACATAACTGCTGCTGGTATCATATGAACAGCTCAGCGTTACACGCTCTTCTTCTGTTCTGTAAATAGTAGTTTCTTTGTCTTTTGGTTGAATGCTGTCAGATAAAACAACTGCAAGACAATTGGACAAATTGAACAGGTCAGCTGGCTTCTCCACATATCTAAAAACGCATTACATGTATAAATAACAATTACACTAGCAAACAGTTTCTTCAACAAATGTGATGTTGTTATTGTAGTAGAGTACCATTAAAAATGTTAGCATGCTCAGATTAAATGTTTTATACCTGGTGCTGTTATGAGAATCAGTAGAAACCATCTCTCCATGTTGGGAAGATTTACTAGCTTGCTATATGAACTGAAGTTTAAAGGTAAATGTATGATTGTAGTAGCCTATTGTGAAGCCATATGGGTGTGGTTTATTTAGACTCCACACTTATTAATCTCAACGAGACAAAGTAATAGAAAAGACAAATAAATGGAATGCTTACATGTAAGAAAACAAAACAAACCAGTTAAGCAGAGCAGCATGTTGATTACCAGAATGAAGTTTTAGTTCAGAACAAGCTGTTCTTCAACTAAAATTTAAATGATTTCCTTGTCAAACAGATGATGTCTCAAGCAGACGCCTACCCTTAAAGCTACATTTAAAACAGCATTAAAAACCATAGACTGAGCCACAGTATAGAGTGGAGTGAACATGAACACACAGGTGAGAAGTACTGTTTCAGGTAATATATGAATACACCCCTGGGAAAACAGATGCACTTGGACTTCCAATGCAAATCTGTGTAACAGCCATTTGGTTTGCAGGACTGATGTTAATTGGCAACTTAAGTCTTAACACATAATTGTATCCTTTGCAGTCCTATTTGCAGATGATATGAAGGATGCCTCTGGTTGTTATAGTAAGTGCTTGACAGTGATGAAATTTGTGGTCTATCTTAGTTATTGTACAGTGTAGTTTGTTATATGAACTGAAGTTTAAAGGTAAATGTATGACTGTAGCCTATTGTGAAGCCCTAGTGTGTGTGTGGTTTATTTAGACCACCTTCTCTGTCTTTCCTAAAAGCTGAGATGTTAAGTCCAGTTAAGAGTTAGAATGTCCAGTATTTGATAGTGAGGTTTGTGCCTGTTCCATTATATTTGCAGTCTAGTGACACATTTTGTTGGTCTGTTGATTGATGTCTATATACACTATCAAGTGCATTTTGTGAGGAAAAACAAACCATTTAGGCCCTTTACGATCTCTCACAAAATGATTGATTCAGTAAATTTCACAATCCTATGGAAAACATGTCTGAATCATGTTTTACCCAAGGATTTATGTTTTGCTTTGAGGACATGAAGCCAGTTTTTTTATTTTTAAGATTTTTAGCATTGTGGCATTATTAATTTTCACGACATTTAAGCACAGTTTCACCAAATTACACATAAGTCCAGAGGGCAAACGGACTGTCTTCTGTTGTTCCTTGCACATGTGAATTCATTTCAGATACAGTTACAGTAGGTGTCCTCTCTGAAATATTTTAATGTACACAGCACCCCCCAGTGGTGGTGTGATAAACATTTATTCTCCCATTGACAACATCCACGAGTCCAACAAGGATAAAACATTGGTGAATCTGAAAAATATAAAGGATGATAAATGTTGACTTTATTTATTGATATTGATATGATATAGATAGTTATAGAATAGTTATATAGTGATATTCCATCAATGATCTCATTCAAAAATGAGAATTTACTAAATAAATACATGCACATAAGAAATACTAACCAGCTGGTAAATGTATAGTTAAATATGAATTTGAATGTAACATTCATCTGTGTGGATACTGTTTGTTGTTTTTGACATCTCATTTTAAGACTATAGAGTCAGTCAGGTTTTTGTATGGTGTGTAGAGTGTTTCCTGTGACTGTGGGCTGCAGGGCACAGTAGTAGAGAGCAGAGTCTGATACTGCAGCAGAGGAGATGATCAGATCCACACTGTTCTCTTCTTTTCTGTGACTGATGGATATTCCAGAAACTGGAGGATTAGCATGAGTAGTTGCTCCATAGTAATCCAGAATGAGGAACTGTGGTGGTGAACCTGCATATTGCCGATACCAGTGAAGACTATCAACAGAACCAGTGTAGTTACAAGAGAGTTTCACACTCTCAGTCTCAGTGGCAAATGCTGCATCACTGTATGGGGTGATGACATCTTTAGCTCTGTTACCTATGACAAAAGCTTATTTAAGCATGTTTAAAATTAGATATTGTTATGTAATGATACATGTAAGATTTTACCTTGAGTTAAAGTCAGCAGTATAAGTACACAAGTGAACATGATGGTAATTGCTGCTTGCATCAGTGATCTGTGATGCTGATTATCACTGAACTAATCAGTTTCACAAGCTGGTGTTAAGCTCCGCCTTTTGGCATAACCCTCTTATAAAGCACAGAAATTAACATATATTATGATGGATTGATGCCTAAATCTGCTTGCACTTGTTATCTTTCAAAGTAATGTCATTTCTCAAATGTTCTTCGTACTTAGCAGGGATAGGATGTGTTTTTGCACAGTATTATTCCTGTTTCTGGAGTTATATTGTCCCCCTCTGTCCCAAACACCTCAGTTTGGACTGCTGTGATGACATTCCCAAAACTGACACCTGCAGATAGGAATATTCAAGTTGAAATCAATATTTAAATAAAAAAAATATTCATATGAAATAACAGAACAGCAAACAAAAATGATACAATCCTGACAGTTTGTGATAGAATATACTTATATGTTTGAGAACAAAGTAAAACAAAAACAAAAAGCATCATTTTTCAGGATGAAGTTTTAGTTTATCTGCAGGAGTGTTACTGAAGTAAGATTCATTCATTGTATAGCAGAGCATGTTTCCAGCTAGAACCTCCCCTTAAAGATACAGTCTTCATATTCAAAGAATATGCTGTAAAAGTGTGATATGTGTTTTTATAAAATGTATACGTTTAATTTATGTCCTTCTTCAAACAACACCTTAGTTTGGAATATTGAGGTAATGTTTGCAAAAGTGCTAAATGTGTCTGGTATGAAATGCTAATACGTCTTACTCAGTTTGACAGGAAAATCAGTCAAATTAATGGGCAATTTATCATTTTTGTATCACCAGCAGTCACTTTTTCATAGCAATAATTACCCAATGAAACCATTATACTTTGTCATTAATTTTCAGTTTTAGCAGCTGTTACCGTATCCTGTTATTCACAGAGGTTTTGTGGCTCACATAAAGTATAGCTGTGGTTTGATTTTTAATTGAATAAATACTGTTCAAAGCAATTATTTTGTGTGTGAGATTTTGTAAAGCCTCTCAGGCATTTCGTGTCACTGGGCTCCAACTCTTAGAGCACAGTAATAGAGTGCTGAATCTGACAGAGTTACACTGTCAAGGGAGTTCAGTGGATGATTCAGATGTAATTGACTGAAACCGAGTGTCTGGTATATCCTCACTGTAGCTCCATGATCAAGCACCTTTACGCAGTAAATATCGAGGTTCTCTGTTTGGAAACTGTCCGTACCAGTAAAGCATAGCATAATTGCTGCTTGTATCATATGTGCAGCTCAGTGTCACAGACTCTCCTTCTCTCCTGATTATATCATCCTTGTTTTTTGGCTCAATGCTGTCAGCAAATACACCTGCAAGAGAATTAATTATATTTCATAAAAGTTTAATTAAACCCCTCTCCTTTCTGTTGTTACATATGCAGTGCTATGGATTAACAACATAAAAAACAATATATGATGTCAGAATTATAATTTAACATCTATGAATTAAATATGTACATAATCAACACTTTGAATCCACCATATATTTTAGTCTAGTGCTGATATTTGAAATGCACTTTACCTGGAATTGTTATTAGAATAAGAAGTAGAACACATCTTTCCATGGTGAGAAATTTGCTAATAAAATAAGCCAATAAATATATGCTTAATGAGTTTCAATTGAAATGTAAATATATGAATGTAATGGAGAGTCATTTGTGCAGCTATAATGTCTGTAAATGTGGGTGTGGTTTCTGATGTTTAGACCACCTTCTGTCTTTCCAATTTAAACCTGAGATAACTGTCAGTTAACAGGATTTCCTTGATCTGTTGTACTTGATGCATTATATATAGCTCAGAGTTATTGTCTCTTTGTGTCAAAGATAATCAAAGATATCTTTGAAAATTCTTCCTTCTGTATTATGTGCGTAGTAAAAAAAATATCATTAGCATTTTGAAAGTAAATAGTCATTCACTCAGTTCAAACTGCATATATTATTTTTTATAACTTCACCCCCTATAGTGGCAGATGACAAACATACTTAGCAGGGATATGATGCGTTTTTGCACTGAATTATTAAGTTTCATGTCACAGTGGGCGTCAGGGCACAGTAGTACATCGCAGAGTCTGTCGCATCAGAGGAGATCTCCAGATCCACACGGGTTTTCTTTTCATTCAGTTTTCCAGAGAATCGAGGATCTAGTTCTACAATTTCAGACCTTTGTGAAACTTTCCCTGTTGCATGGAATATGACTAAAAGGTATTCAGGAGCTGAACCGGGTGATACCACTGCAGACTAATCGCTGAGGAGTAGTTACAGGTCCCCATCTGTCCAAAACACCTTAGTTTGGACTGGTGTGATGACATTCCCAAAACTGACATCTGCAGATAGGAAGATTCAATTTTAAATCAACATTTAAAGGGCTCATATGACGTTGCTAAAAAAGAACATTATTTTGTGTATTTGGTGTAATGCAATGTGTTTACGCGGTTTAAGGTTAAAAAAACACTATTTTCCACATACTGTACATTATTGTTGCGCCTCTTCTGAAACGCATCGATTTTTACAAAGCTCATCGTTCTGAAAAGCGTGGTGTGCTCTAATTGGCCAGCTGTCTAGTGCGTTGTGATTGGCCGAATTCCTCAAGCGTGTGACGGAAATGTTACGCCCCTTACCAGGTTCAGGAAACTTTCCTCCGTAAAATGCGCTGCACACACTCAAATATTTGGGTTGTACTGTTCTGGAACAGTGTTGTAAATAAAACTTAACCACTGATTTCTAGTTGTGTCCACTTTTGGAAGGCCAAACAAAGTAGTTTGGCTTTTGCAACGAAAAACACAGCGTCTCCACGACATGGTGGCGGCAACAATACTACAGCGAGAATAAAAGTTACGCCTTCTTTCTTTGCATATACATTTGGGCGGTGTTATGCAAATCTTCCCACACAGTGATGTAGACATGTGGGGGCGTGTTTAAACGAGGCGTTTTAGGAGGGTGTGGATGAGCATTCACTTTTATAAAGAATATCTGTTTGGGTTTGAAACTTTAATCTTTGCGACTTTACGGATCTTCTGTATGCACGAACGACTTTTAACACTCCAAAAACAAAGGAAAACAAGAAATCGCATCATATGACCCCTTTAAATATTAACATGCCATAACAGAATAGCAAACAAAAAATATTATAAACCTGACACATTGGGATAGAATATACTTACATGTTAAAGAACAGAGGTAAACAAAAAGCATAATTTTTCAAGATGAAGTTTTAGTTCATCTGCAGAACAGACTTTTACTGAAGTAAGATTAATTCATTGTCTAGCAGAGCATGTCTCAAGACACCTTCCCTTAAAGATACAGTCTTCATATTTAAAGAATATGCTGTAAGGGTGATGTTTAAGTGTTTTTTATTATATATGTATACATTTAATTTATCTCCTTCTTCAAACAACACCTTAGTTTGGACCGTTGAGGTGACATTTGCAAAAGTGCCACTAAAAAAAACTTGAATGTGTCTGGTAAAGTCAAATGAATGAGCTGTTTATAATTTATAAATCATCAGCATGAACACTGATGATCACAGCATGAACGGTCATAATAATTCGCGAAGTAAACTTTTATCCTTAATTTCATTTATCTCAGTTAAGTTTTGGCAGGTGTTACCATATCCTGTTATTCACAGAGACTTTGTGGCTTACATAAAGTACAGGTGTGGTTTGATTTTCAGTTGATCAAATACAGTTCAAAGCAATTATTTTGTGTGTGAGTTTTTGTACCAGTAAAGTAAAATATTGTTGCTGCTTGTATCATATGTGCAGCTCAGTGTCACAGACTCTCCTTCTCTCCTGATTATATTGTCCTTGTCTTTTGGTTCAATGCTGTCAGCAAATACACCTGCAAGAGAATTAATTATTCTTCATAAAAGTTGAATTTAACCCCTGTTCTGTCTGTTGTTACAGTAATAGTGCTATGCATTATAACATTTATTATGCTATGAAATATAGAATATCAGCCACCTAATTTAATTACTAATTCATCTAATTCAATTTAATAATAATATAAATTAAATAAATATGTACATTAACAAATTAACAAATTAACAATTTGAATCCTCAGTCTGTTCTAGTCTAGTGAAATGCACTTTACCTGGTACTGTTATAAGAATCAGTAGAACACATCGCTCCATGGTGAGAAATGTATTAATAAACTAGGCTTATTAATATATACTTAATGATTTTAAGTTAAATGCATGAATGTAATGGAGAGTCATTTGTGCAGCTAATATGTCTATAAATGTGGGTACTTCACCCCCTAGTGGCAGATGATAAACATATACATGTATCATAGAACTGGTGCATTCAAAATGGAGACTAAAATGTGCAAAATTGCTCCAACTACTGTACAGTGGACAGGAATTTATGAAAACTTTTCAGGATTGTTTTCCCAAATGTACACTATATTAACATATATTTTAAGAAGACTGTGAATGCAATCCATAATAGTTTGCATCAGAATAGTGTTATCTTCCATAACTAGCAATTCATCTTGTCAAATCATTTCATTTTTAACAATGATGAATGGATCTGTATTTTGAATACAAAGCTCAGAGTAATTCATATACAAATTGCAATTTGAGAGCACAATTATATATTCTGAATACATGCCTTCATATGCCTGATGGATAGACATCACTGTAAATTTGCAATTTAATAGTGTTTCAGGTTTTTGTATGGTGTGTAGAGTGTTTCCTGTGACTGTGGGCTGCAGGGCACAGTAGTAGAGAGCAGAGTCTGATACTGCAGCAGAGGAGATGATCAGATCCACACTGTTCTCTTCTTTTCTGTGACTGATGGATATTCCAGAAACTGGAGGATTAGCATGAGTAGTTGCTCCATAGTAATCCAGAATGAGGAACTGTGGTGGTGAACCTGCATATTGCCGATACCAGTGAAGACTATCAACAGAACCAGTGTAGTTACAAGAGATTTTCAGACTCTTAGTCTCAGTGGCAAATGATGCATCACTGTATGGGGTGATGACATCTTTAGCTCTGTTACCTATACAAAAAAAAAACATATATAAGGATTGTTGAGCATATTTAAAATTAGAATATTGTAATGTAACGAGTAGCTACATGTAAGATTTTACCTTGAGTTAAAGTCAGCAGTATAAGCACACAAGTGAACATGATGAACAGGCTGCTGCTCGCCTCAGTCATCTGTGATGCTGATCACTGAATGAGTCTGTGTCCTACAGGCCTGTGTTAAGCTCCGCTTAACATAATTATTTTATAAATATCAGAAATTATTAAACACAAAACCAGAAACACTTGTGGAATGATTTTTGTCATGTTTGGTTTAGTTAGATTGATTGATCAATGCTCTATACCTAAAGCTAAAACAATATAAGGTACATTGTTTAACTTATAGTTACAATAACATTTTATCTCTTGAAAGAGCAAAATTCACCAGCTAGGAATCAGTTGGACTACTTTTGAAATCAGAAACTAGTTTTTCCCGATTAAACAAAGAAAAGAAGAAGAAAAAAAAACTTTTAAGTTAATCATTAACAGCTCCTATTTTACCAGCCCACCAGATGGCAATCTAATCTTATTGAAGGAATACTAACTGTTACTATTGTCACTTATTTTTTCTTAATTAGGTTAAATTAGGATTTTGGAGTTAGGTAACATATATAGCTTACAAATCATGGAGCTTTTATTTACAGTTATTGCCTAACCCCAGTATGTGTTGATTTAGTAGTCTTGTGGAATGGTTGCGTTTCAATACAAGCAGTCTCAGCTTTAAAACCCATCCACACATCTAATCAACCAAACAAAATTGGGACTGTACATCAGAAACATTAGGTTGCATTTTATTTTTATTTATTTATTTTATTTCCCATATTTCTGCTGATTGACTGTGGTGCAGTTGACTGTGGTATGCTTTACCCTCTGTGTAGGAAAGGTTTTTGTACAGTGTTGTTTGTTTTCCTGTCACTGTGGGCTCCAGGGCACAGTAGTACAGAGCAGAGTCTGTCACTTTTAGCAGAGGAGATTTCAAGACACGTGTGGGTTTTCTCTTTATTCAGTTTTCCAGAGAATTGAGGATCTAGTTCCACAACTTTAGAGTTCTGTAAAACTTTTCCAGTAGCATGTAGAATGACTAAAAGAAATTCAGGAGCCGATCGGGGATATTGACAATACCAATATAGACTGGCTGCTGAGGAGTAGTTACAGGAGAGAGATATAATGTCCTTTTCTGTTCCATACACTTCATTGTAGACCGGTGTGATGACATTCTCAAAAAATATCCCCTGCAGAGAGAAATATAAACATGTAGCTTGTTTAAAAAAATTAACATGTTAATCTAAAAAGGGAAAAACAGATAAGCAAATAATAAACAAAAGTCCTGCCAGTCTGAAACAGAACACATACCTGCAAGAGAAAAGTGCAAAATAAAAACAAAGAGTATCATTGTTCAGGACGATATACAAGTTAATCTGCAACACCTGTTACTGTTACTAAAGTAAGCATTTCATTTCTTTTTCTCCAATGAGAATGTCTTACAAGATACCCCCAGGGTCGAGCGAGAGCGGGGGAGGATGACCGGCCTATAGGACAGACTATTGTTATGACCACTTATGATGAACAATCGACTATGGAACAGCCAAGCGACTTATCTCGGGTCTGCAGATGTGGGAGGATATGTAAAATTGAGAGGGGTCTGAAGATACATCAGTCATAGATGAAGTGCTTGCAACCTGAACATAATGTGCAATGCACAGGGAAACCTGGTGAGACAGCCCCCAGAATCTCCAGGCACATGATGAAGATGGGAGCAGGAACAGCATAGTTGATGTGTCAGAGGACATGAAGCACCAGGCAGAGGCGGAGGGTACACATGGCATTAGACAACCTGGACAGGATATATCGGTAGGGGTGGTCCGAAAGGAACTGGTGAATTGGCCTGCTGCAGTGGCAAGGACGGAGTGGGAGAAGTTTGATCATGATGTGGATGAGGTGCTGGAAATAGCTTTGGCAGGAGATGTGGGGAAGAAGCTCAAGGCTATGGCTTCCATTATTTGGAGCATAGGTGCTGATCGCTTTGGAAAGAAAGAGCCGAAGGTTAAAACATACGCCCAGCCAAAGGAAAACAGATGGGTGAAGGAGATTGCAATCCTTAGAGGGGATTTGCGGAGGCTGAGGAAGGCATGTCGTGAAGCA